AAAAAAAAAAAAAGGGGGGGGGGGGGGGGAGTGGCTTTTAATTGCTGAGAATTTGGCGTTCGCCTCAGGATTCTTCACCCCCGGCCATTGCCATTTTCAAGGTTCAACTTTCGGCTATCTGGTCACGGTTTCAGCGTTTCTCGCAGCCCCATGCAGAGCATCTTCGCCGCATTCGGGAGACTTCACCTTCTTGCGGATGTCCCGGACTGACCAGCACTCCCTGCCAGATTGCCTGCGTTGTTGGTCGGCTCCGTGCCAGAGACAACTCGTATGCCAAAATTGCGATACTTGCGAATGAAGCACCGAGCCTATTGTTTTGGGACTGGTATGCATGTTTCGTATATACAATTATTGCAACATTTCTCGTTGGTCATCGAACTCCTCGCAAAGACTCTCCCTTGTTCCGACTACAAGACCTCAAGACCTGGGCGGGGGTGGAAAGTGCTGCGTTTCGAGGTGCCATTTTTTAGTGAAATTTCATTCATGGCCAAATCTGCCTTTAGCAGCGAATCACCACGTAACCACTATACGTATACGCGTAAAAATAGAACCAAATGATGGCTAGCTTCTTCTTTAATTATGTTTAAAAATTTTTTTTTTGTGCAGCCGCGAGTGAGCATTTTATTCTTGGGCAAACTTGGATCTTGGCGGTCAATCAAGCGGCTGGCCCGTGCACGGATTCTGCTTACGAAATCCAAAGCCCCTGCCCGCCGACTGAAATCAGCAAACCAATGAACATCCAGCTTGCCGTCGACCGTGGGGCACGCCAGGCCCATACATATCCGAATTTGGTAGTCCAGCAGAGGCACGGCGTGGACTCGGCGACGGGGTCCGACGCAGGAGCGCCTACCGCGGGGCATTTGCTATCCCACGCAAAGGTCTATGTCTTGCGGAGTGTTACGGTATTGTCCAACTAATGACACTTTCGTATAATAAGTCTCATCAATCTTTGATCGACCTGAGCCTGCACGCCACAAGCGTGGCAGATGTTGTAGCCTCGGCCCAATACTCGTACGAAAGGCTTGTTCCCGACGACCTAAAGGAGCTCGTTGTTCTCTTTGCTGCGTGCGAGGTGGAAAGATTGGGTCAGGATGAGCAATTTCAGGATAGGCTTGGGGAGGCCTGTAGTTGCGGCAGTGCTGAAGCGATTGGAATAGTCGCAAACCCTCTGTGAGCTGGTTGTGTACGTAGCAGCTGAATTCGTGCGAACATGATGTCAAATCAGAGTTATAGTTTGTATCAACTTGGTCAACAAAACTAACTCAATATTCCCAAAAATAGTTATGGCTGGTTGTTACGGCTGCATTATTAGACTCACTATCTATGACGAACGGAAAATCTCGCGCTTATTCATGGGCCATATACTGTAGACGACGACGGAACAACTCAGCAGACCTGGACGATGTCAGCCAGTGCAACTGAGGCTTCTCGGGTTGTACTGGGGATGGGGGGTAATCATGGATGGAAGAAGAGTGATGGAAGAAGAGAGCGGGTTTTCTTCCTGCACTCAGACAGTACTGTCACTACAGCTCGGCAGATACTCATCAAGAAACTAGCAATAAATCATCATTGCATAGTGAATTACACCTCCGTGCCAAGGCCGAATTGCCCAGCATGTATCAAGCGTGGTTTGTATAAGTCAGACCCTTTTTCGTAACTCCCTTCCTTCGGCCCGAAACTACTGGCACCTAATGTTGCCTATGTGCTGTCATCCCAGACTTCCCGCTAGGCTAACTGTCCCCCCTCCCAACCACATGGCGTAAGCCCTCGTGAAACCGTCTACCGGTCGTTGGAAATGTCCACAACTCGAGGCATTACACCTCCAGCAGTGCTCATTATGTTCTGCTCGCTCATGCATTCTCGAGATAACAACTTCCCGTTCCTCACGGCAATCCTGCGCCTGGATGCAACTCTCGGCTTTATCACCATCTCCCAGTGATCCGTTCGCTACTGTTATTAACGCCGCGGCCACATCCGTTATTACCGGGACACCTGTATAATAATTTATGGTATTAGTTGTATTAATTACTATTATTCTTTCTTATTTTTACCTAAGGTATCTCTAGTAATATTACCTCTCTTTTTATTATATAATATAATTAAGTTTACTTTTCTTTTAATAAGCTAAGAGAAAGAGAAACTAGTATTAATCTTAATATTATATTAAGCTCAGAGAATTATATATACTCTTTTTATAAGTGCGCTTATTATTAGGGTTATTTACTCGTAGTTAAGGGTTTACCCTTATTTGATTATGCGTACGTAATTTATACCCGTAACAAGTAACCCATTCTAACATCATCACAAGCGCAGGATGCGGCACACGCCCCGCTCCCTCCACCGCTCAACGAAGGAGGGAGAATTCTAGATTTAAAGCGCCGGGCCTTTTTCATCTGGCTCGGAATTTTTCTTACCGTTGTGGTGGCCGCTGTAGTTGGCGATGCTGCGGAAGGAGTCATTTTTTCAAAGTCGAATCCTCATCGGCTGACAGTGCGTCAGACACACAAATCCTACCTCGACGTAAGTTTTTGCCCAAGTCCCTCGATTCGAAGAAAACTACGGCGATAAAAATATTTCATAGCCCGTACCTACGTCATCCACACCAACGGCCTCATCTACTGCCTCCTCCACAAGCCCATCTGCCGCCCCTTCAGCCACGTTTTTGTATAACGAGACGTCGTTTGATCAGGCGTTTGCATTCCAAGGATTTTCTAGGAATAAGTTCAGCGGCGGTTATTAAAATAGTTCGAGATAAAGAAGGTGGCACGGACTTTGACTTCGACAACGACTAGGTTGCCAAAACTACCAACTGCTGTGTTTCGTTTTGGAGCAATGCTATCAAGGAGGGATGGATGGGATACACGTGTGATTCGAGACACAGGGAAGCGGCTGAGGAATCCTTGCAAGAGCCTTTACTTGGTGCCCAGATAAGCACACAACACCATACGCACGGGGGAAGTGTGTGTAAAACAACCGACATCACTGCAAGATGGCTTTTATTTCAAAATATATACGTCGGCGTCCGAGAAAAGAGCAAATACCTTGACGCCCTAATTCCATACATGAAGACAGCCATTAGCAACAAGTGCCGCGGTTTATGCCTGTGCGTTTGGCTATGCACACTGTTGTTTTACATATGTGCAACTTGTGAGCCGTTTCAGGATGCATCTCACCAGTCACCACCCCAGTTGTTGCAGCCGTTATTTCCAGGAGCATGAGGCCAGCGCGAGTTGCGGATTGGGTCAGGGCCGGGCTGGGGGAATTCAACATCGGTTCCCTCATACGTGCAGATGCCGTTTCCAACGTTGGCGACAAACATGGGAGGACGGCTGCTGTAGGACTCTGCGGCGCCGCGTCTAGTAGTTCTGTTGCTGGCTTTGACCGTGATGGCAGCGCAGTTCATGTACATCTCGCGGTTGCCCTCGTGGTTGAACCAAGACCAGCCGAAAAGCATCTCGCCAGCGGGCAAGTCGTTGGGCAGAGTGAAGCTATACGTGGAGTCACCCATCACTGGACAGTTTCCAATGTACGAGCGAATGACTTTCCACAATGTGCCACGATCGTACGAAACCGAAGCTTGGCAACTTCCACCCTTGTGAGGAGTACCTCCGCTGATGGTCATGGAGTAAGTACCGCCAGCTGTCCAACTTGCTACTGGTCTGCCCTTCGGGGTGCCCAGATATTTCGCGTAGCCTTTGCAGGGGAAGTTACTACCGTCCGACTCCAGGGGCGAAGTGATGTCGTAGTCGATGTCCCAGTCTGTATAGGGGTTGAAACGGGAACGGAAGGGTGGAGGGTCTTTCATCTCCATGTGTGCTACGGCAAATGTAGCCATGCCCAGGCAGGCACCGATGACTTGGGAGGCTTTCATATTGGTGGTTGATACAGAGAGTGACCAGGAGTTATGAAGGACTAATTGGTTCAGAAGGGGAAGCTTTGATGGACTCAACCACGAGATCCGACCAGAAAGACAGTAGTGGAAGAGGCCTTTTATATCACTCCTGATACTTTATTTCTCACTCTCTTTTGTCTCCTGAACACCGTCCAAAATGCAACCACTGTAATTTTCCAAAAAGGGGTCATCAGGATCAATGTCACTATCCCCCACGACCCATACTGTACCATTCATTGTCCATGGACCAACTTCAAAGCTTGGGAGCAATAAAGGTACCTTCCTAGTGCAGCATGTTGTCAACACCAAAACACGACGCATGAACTCAATGCGAACGGGAATAACGCGACGGAAATAATGCGGTCGCAGAAACATTGGCATCCATACCATGCCAGAAATGCGTCATGGACAAGAAGGAATCCCACATAATTCCATGGTTCTATTGAAGGAGCGCCATTTCAGGTTCCTGGAATGCGAAATATATCCACAGTCGTCATCCAACATACTGGGTGCGCATAGGCATATGTTCTTAACAACTGATCAACTATACCCAAGTTAGCCCTGGACGATTCTGCATCGGATGATTATGTTACACTGAACAACGGCGGGTTGTCAATCTCCTCCCACCCGAGCGGCTTCTTCAGATCAGGAGCCTTTCGCGCTGTCCAATGAAGAACTGCAACGTTCCTGGAGACCAAGCGACATGGTTGACGGCGCTTGTTTTTGGCATTTTCGGACGTCTGGTGGTTCTTGGCGGGTTGGCCCCCACGTACGGCCTTGACGGTGACGGTTTCATCTGGTAAAGCAGACTTGCAACTTATTACTTATGCAAGTAGTCACTGTATGGAAATGTTCTAGAATAGTCTCAAGGGAGACGCAGAGCTATTCGTGCAGTTATGACTCCATCGCCGAGCGCTCTCATTTCATGTGAGTAGTGGCTCAGCATAATTTACGAGGTCATGCCCGGTGTTAACGTGTTTAGGAGACGAGCATCTTATTTCGAAGCCCATGTCCACTTGCGACTATGAAAGAAAGAATGGATGTAATTGCACCAAGGGCTTTGGGTGTTCGTTGTTGCACCACCCGCTATAAACTACTCCCCCTTTCCTCCACATCAAGACGCATGGTGTCCAGAGGACGGAGAGATGGTTTGGAGCGAACAAGACTTGGGCCGAAGGTACGTCTCACGTGGGGTTGAGTCTGTCGCATCCACCATGCTGACTTGTTGAATCAATAACTTTTCTCTTCATGTCTCAACCCCCAAATGCATGTCGAGACAAGTTGAAGCTACTCGATACGTGGGACTGGTGTTGCGGTGCCATCCAGCCAAAGCGCGTTGTGTTGCAAATGGATGTCCTGCACTCCGGCTTTGGTAGGCTAGGCAGAGTCCTGGCCGAGGAGCGCAGACTGACGCTTAGGTTTGTAATCCGTCGATTCTGTCTATACTAATACCTGTCCATGTCAAGTCTGCGTTGTATTAGAAGACCCGGAATCTAGGCGTAGCATAATCTGCATAGTTACAAACAAGACAAGACAGGGCGGCCGGGGCGGATTCGGGAATTTATCCACCAACATCTGCCATCTTACGTGGAAATCTTGGCGAACAGCAGCTGGAACACCATCGCCAGAGCTACTTCCCCGTACCGTACTATTGGCTGGAAGCAATCTGGTGTGCATACATAAGCTGACTGTCCTGCAATGAAAAGTTCCACTTTTCAGAGACAAGCTACGTTACAACCGCACACGGGAAGGCCCTGCTGACCCCGATCAAGGGTCTTATTTTCCTCCAATCCCCATCATGGCTGCAACTACCTTCCCCATCTCGACATGCTTTGGGTTATCCAAGACTACTGTGTCACACCGGGTTTCACCGGGCTAAGGGTGGCTAAGGGCTAGACCAAAGTCTTCCCCCAAGCTGTCAGCAGAGATGATTCCAACTTGAGCTTAGTTCCGGCATTTAGGTCTCAAATTATCCATCCACCACCTGGGGATGAGGGACCCTAAATGTAAGGATCATGGAATGGCTCAAGGCCGAATGTATATAAGTAGGCTTTGCAGGTTTCAGAATACCAAAGGCCCGACAGGTCAAGATTCACACACACCGCGTCTCGCTACATCCCACAAGATGCGTTCAACCAGTCTTTTTGCCGTGGTAACCCTAGGCGCCGTGGCCTCTGCCTATCAACTTCCCGCCAATCTCAAGAAAATCTATGATCAACACAAGGTATATTGCAATATCAGGCGACAACACGTGTCAGTTGCTAAGACGATTCAACACACAGGCCGGAACATGCTCCAATAAACTTTCAGGGACCTTCAGTGGCGGCGCGACGTACTGCGGAGATCTCCCTAATGCCATCTTCCTCAAGGGAAGCAACGGCAACTATGACAACATGGACATTGACTGCGACGGCGCCAATAACTCGGCTGGCGGCTGCGCAAACGACCCTACTGGCCAGGGGCAGACTGCGTTCAAGGACACCGTCAAGACGTACGGTATTCCTGATCTTGATGCCAACCTCCACCCCTATGTAGTCTTTGGAAATGAGGGCGCCAGCCCGTCTTTCAACCCGCAGAGCAAGGGCATGAAGCCTCTTAGCGTCATGGCCGTCGTGTGCAACAATCAAGTGGTGCGTATTATCCCGGTTCTGGTCCGTCGTTGCATTCCAGTTGCTGACAATGGGAATTCCTTTCCAGTTTTATGGAGTCTGGGGCGACACCAACGGATTCACTTCCACCGGAGAGGCGTCGCTGGCCCTTGGCAAGCTTTGCTTCCCCAACGAGGGCCTTTCTGGCGACAATGGCCATGACCCCAAGGATGTTCTTTACATCGGCTTCACCGGAGGCGACACGGTTCCTGGCAAGAGCGGTGCAAATTGGAAAGCAAAGAAGACGGCCGATTTCGAGGCTAGTATTAAGGCCTTGGGCGACAAGCTCGTCGCGCGCCTTTAGATTTACTGGCACTTGTAGTTGTCATGAGTCTGGAGCGACCTCCCATACTTGTACATATTTATTTAAGCGCCGCCCTTGCCTTCCATCTTGTTAGTCATGATTTGCATGTCGGAACTCGTGCTGTACAGGCTGTCGTGGTGCGATTGCTCTTTGCCCGCGCGACGGTCCATGTGTTTGGCCTCGGGAGCTCTGGACCTCTGGTGGCCTGATGGCGGGGCCAGTTGGGATTGTTTCGCATCTTACGACGCTTGGGAAACTTGTATAGCTCATTGTACAATCCGCAGAGGCGCGCAATCCCAGCACCGCTGACATGTGGTAAGAAGTACTCGTGCCACGCCCCACCATTAGGTAATTCAGCTAGCAAAGCCCTCACCACCAAAGGTGGTGCTTATCACCAAGGCGGGCACATTAGCAAGGCGAGCAGCTTTTTAACCTTAGACGCGTTAAACCGTGAAAATAGCTGTAATTAACGTTTAAAAGTTAAAAAATAAAGCTAATTTACGTGTTATTTAAGCCCTTTAATTTATTAATGAAAATATAAATGTAAAACTAGCTATTATAGCTTAAAAATTTTACGTGTCTTATATAACGCTTTAATAATAAGTTAATAGCGTTTCTACTAAAAAAGGCTATCTAGTAGTAAATATAAAGCTTTTAAGAGAAGAAGAAGTTACTTTATATAATTATATTAATTGCCTTAATAATATTAATTTCATTATATAAGTTAAATTTATTATAAATATTATAAATTACATTATAAAAGAGAGGGTATTATTAATAGCCTTATTTAAGCCTATTAAAAAGCTTTAAATTACACGCTTTATTAAGTGGTACGGCTATAATAAATACCTTTAAAGAAAGCTAGATATAAATTAAAAAGCCTTAAAAGACGTTAAAAGGGTTCTTACTTATTTTAATAAAGTTATAATAGTTTTAATATATAGAATAAAAAAAACTTAAGAATAAAGTTTTTAATATTTATATTAATCTTTATATATATAGAATTAATTATATTAAATATATATTTAAGCTTATAAAATACTTTATAATATATAAATTAATAATATATATAATTTTACTTTAATATAAATAATATATATTAATTAAATTAAAAAACATATATAAAAAGTATAAATTCTTATTAAGAAAAAATATATTAAACTTATAATATTATAAGATTAGCTTTAAAATTATATTATAAGCTAATTAAAAATCTTTAAAATACTTATTAAAGTATTTAAATTAGCTTATTTTTACGTAATTAAGCTAGTATTTTTAAAAGCTATTAAATTCGTTTTTTTTTATAATATTTAGGTTCTACTAATAAAATAGTTTTATAAAGCATTTTATAGGTTAAGTTTTATCTTATTACGTTTATTAATATAAGTAAAGTAAATTATTAGTACTTATTATAACTTATTAAGATTAATAACTATATTTATAAGCTTTTAAAGCTTTAAATTTAAAAAAGTTTTAATAAAAAGTAATATTTTATAGTATTTTATTTAAGAAAGCTATTATTAATAAAAATATACTATAAGATATATAATAAAGAGCTTTTAATTATAATAAACTTATTTAAACGCTAATATTAGTAGTTAAAGAGTATTATATATTATATTAAGGTTTACTTTAATTATTAGAATCTTAGCTACTTTATAATAATTAAAGTCCTTAATTATTATTAAGCTTAATAAGCTTAAAAGCTAATAAAATTTTAGTTTATTATTAATTATTAGCTAAGAAAGTTTAATAATAAAGTAAATATTCTTTTTTAACTCTTTTAATATAAGTTAAATAAAAGGGGAGATAAAGATTAATTAATATTAATAGTCTTATAAAAGAAATACTTTAATTCTCTTTTAGTAATTCTATTAACGTTAAATTAAATTTATAGCTTATTAATAAAGAGTTAAAACCTTAACTTTCTTTAATAGCTTTAAGCGTTAATAAGAAATAACTTTATATACTAAGAAGAATTAAGAGAGCTATTAAAAATAATAATAATTAAGAATAATCTCTTATATAAAAAAGACTACCTTTAAGTCTTAAAAGCTATTTAAAAGAAAGTTTTAAAGTTAAAATATAACTTTAAGATAATAAGCTACATTAAC